AAAGAAAAAAAACTAAATTTCCAAGTCAAAAAACTTTAAAAAAGAACAACAAAGTAAGCCAAAAGAAAGTATCAGGAAGATAAAAGAAGTAATGAGGGCAAAGAACACAAAGAGTAGACATAAATTAACCAAAATCCTGTTCTTCTGAAGAATTTAACAAAATAGACAAACTACTACCTAACTTAATAAAATTTTTTTTAAAAGAAGGGGGAGATAGCCGGGCTCGGTGGTTCAGCCTGTAATCGCGTGCCTTTGGGAGGCTGAGGTAAGTGAATTGCCTGAGCCCAAGGGTTCGAGACCCGCCTGGGCAACTTGGCGAGACCTCATCTCTACAATAAACCAAAAATTAGCCGGGCGTGGTAGCGTGTGCCTGTAGTTCCAGCTACTTGGAAGGCTGAGGCGGAAGGATCGCCGGAGGCCCAGCAGGTCGAGGCTGCGGTGGCCGGGAGCGGCCACTGCACTCCAGTCTGGGCGACAGAGTGAGACTCCAACTCAAAAAAAAAAAAGGAGGAGGAGAAACCATAAATGCACAAGAATGATAAATAACAAGAGGGAAATGTCATTGAAATATAAATAAATTTTTAAATTATAAAAGTTTAGTTTCACACTTCTATACAAATTGATTTGAAAATCTAAGTGAAACGGATAATCTCCTGGAGAATTAGACTACCAAAATGGACCCCATTGGAAACAGAACGTTTAAACATAAAAGAAACACAGAGCCGAGCATGGAAGCTCAGGTCTGTAATCCCAGCACTTTGGGAAGCCAAGGCGAAAGGAATGCCTGAACCTGTAGTTTCGAGACCAGTGGGCAACATGGTAAGGCCTCATCTCTACAATAAAAAAATCAAAAAATTAGCCGGGCATGGTAGCACATGCCTGTAGTTCCAACTACTTGGAAGGCTGAGGCGGAAGTATCTCCAGAGCCCAGCAGGTCGACACTAGGGTGGCCGTGAGTATGCCACTGCATTCCAGCGTGGGCAACGAGTAGGAATCCAACTCAAAAAAAAAAAAAAAGGAAACACAGAAGATTACCAAGCAACAACCCAGCTAAAAAAGAACCAGGCCCATATGGTTTCAAAGGGAATCTTACCAAACCTTCAAACAGATAGTCACAATGTTCCATAAATTGTTCCAGAGTGTTAAAAAAAAATGAATAAAAATTTCCTATTTTTTTTTTGTGAAGCACATATAAAATTAACACTCAAATAAAGACATAAAAAAGGAAAATTATAAATCACTATTACTTATAAATAGTGATTTGAAATTATTAAAGAAAATAATAGCAACAGAATCTAACTCCATGAAAAATCAATACACTATGATCACATGGCATTTATTCCAGATATGCAAAGTTGGTTTAATATTAAGAATCCAGGCTAAATCCGGGCTTGGTGGCTCAGTCTGTAATCCCATGCTTTGGGAGGCCGAAGTGAGTGAATTGCCTGAGCCTGCGGGTTCAAGACCCACCTGGGTAACTTGGCGAGACCTCATCTTTACAATAAATCAAAAAATTAGTCGGACGTGGTAACGCACACCTGAAGTTTCAGCTATTTGGAAGGCTGAGGCGGAAGGATCACCAGAGCCCAGCAGGTCAAGGCTGCAGTGGCCGGGAGTGGCCACTGCACTCCAGTCTGGGCGACTGAGTGAGACTCCAACTCAAAACAAACAAACAAACAAAAAATCCAGGCTAGGCACAGTGGCTCACACCTGTAATCCCAGAAGTTTGGGAGGCTGAGGCAAGAGGATTGCTTGAGCCCAGGAACTCAAGACCAGCCTGAGCAACATAGTGAGACCTTGCCTCTACAAAAAATAAAAAAATTAGCTGGGCATGGTGGCACACACCTGTTGTCCCAGCTACTCTGGAGGCTGAGCCAGAAAGAGCACCTGAGCCCAGGAGATTGAGGCTGCATTAGCCATGATCATGCCACTGTACTCCAGCTTGGGCAACTAAGTAAAACCTCAACTCAAAAAAAAAATCCTGCTGGGCTCGGTGGCTCAGCCTGTAATCCCGCACCTTTGGGAGGCTGAGGTGAGTGGATTGCCTGAGCCCGCAGGTTTGAGACCCGCCTGGGCAGGCGAGACCTCATCTCTACAATAAAATCAAAAAATTAGCCGGGCGTAATAGTGCGCAACTGTAACCAGCTACTCAGAAGGCTGAGGCGGAAGGATCGCCGGAGCCCAGCAGGTCGAGGCTGCGGTGGCCGGAAGCAGTCACTGCACTCCAGTCTGGGCGACAGAGTGAGACTCCAACTCAAAAAAAAAAAAAAAAAAAATCCGTTAATAAATACTTTAGCAGTAGATCTAAGTGGGGAACATAATGCAATTATCTCGGTAGATGCTGGAAAAGCTACAAAATTCAATACCCATCTCTGAGGGAAAAAAAAAACACTCAAAAAAATAGGAATTGATGGACACTTTCTCAACACATAATAGATATATCTTTGTACTAAGTCAAGCTCTTACTTAAAGAGAAAACACTAGGATAAGGAATAGAGCAAGGATACCTGCTATGTCTACTACTATTTAACACTGTATTGATGGTTTGAGCTAATGCAATCAGACAAGAGAAAACAACTCAAAGTATTATAGTTATCAAAGAAGTAGTAAAACTATCTCTTTCTGCAGATGATATAGTTGCATACCTGAAAACCTCAACAAGTAGAATCAATAATAAAACTAACTAGAAAATCAAAAACTTCAGTGAGATAGCAGGTCATAAAATTAAACAATGAAAAGAAATGAAGTCTTACAGTATGGCAGATGTGAGTTTGAAACCCTCTTCTATCACCTACAAGGAGAAGTCACTTTAATTCTCCAAGCTTCAGTTTTCTCATATGAAAAATAGGCATATACCTACCTCTTAAGATAGTTGTCATATTTGGTATGTAAAATATCGAATATGTGTGGGACATACAACAAAGAGCAGCTACTATTACTAGGAGAATGGGCCGCACATGGAAAGGACATGAGCTTTTGAAGGAGACAATTAGACCTGAACACAGGCTCTGCTACCTGTTAACCATACGATCCTAGGCAAGTAAAAACCTTCTCTGAATTCTAATGGACTGTTATAAAAATTGGATGAGAAAGCATACATATGGAAATCTATTCCTTCATTCAACAAATGTTTATTGAGTATTTAAATATGCTACAGACTATAGAAGAGAAAGAGGAGAAAAAAAACTTCCTTCTGATTAGATAACATGCTAAGTCCTGTGCTAGGCTACATATATCAAAGGTAAACAAAGCAGACATTGTCCCTGCTTTCATGGAGTTTATAGACTGATAAGGAAGACAAAAATTAAATAACTACCTATGAAAAACATACGAATATAAATAGCACTAAGTGTTATGAAGGAAAGCAATAAGAGACTAAGAAAGAGAACAACAAGAGGGGGCTACTTTAATTTGAATAGTCAAGGGGAGTCTTTCTTTTAAAGATAAATTAATTATATGATACCAACTGTGTGCCAGACACTATTCTTATCTCATAGTATTCTTATATCACATCAAGGCACTGGTTCAGGGTCATACAATAGAAAAAAAAAACCCTATCTGCACTATCCCATGTCAATTGCTGACTATCAAAGAACTGGGATGTTTACCTACAAAATAAAAATCAGTTATGAAATTTTAAACTCATAAAACACTAAGAATGACAAATGACTATACATTCAAGTACTAAGAATAAAATTTGGCTATATAATTCTATTACCAAGAGCTGTTTAAGTCTCATCATTTTTAGAACTGATGGTGGCTGGCGCAGTAGGTCAGGCCTGCAATTCCAGTGCTTTTGGAGACTGACGTAGGAGAACTGCTTGAGGCTAGGACTTCAAGACCACCCCAATCAACAGAGCAAGATCCTGTCTCTACCAAAAGTAAAAAATTAGCCAGGCTGAGAAAGGAGGCTCCCTTGAGCCCAGGAGTTTGAGGCTACAGAGAGCTATGATTGTGCCACTGCACTCCAGCCTGGGCAAAAGAGTAAGACCTTGTCCAAAAAAAAAAAAATGATTATGAAATATGATGTACAGAATGGTGTCATTCTGGTTAAGAGCTCTAAAATGGCGTCAGGAAGCATTCAAAGAAGGGCTACCTATATGAGCTGCAGGATTGCCTTGAACCTTTGAAGTGGGTCAGCCATGACCATAAAATTCTGGAAAACAGCTGAATTCACCAGTACTATAATTCCAGAACAGCAAAATAACCAATTAATTCGTGTACTAAGCCAGCTGCCTCCACCAATGATAATTCTTTCAAAACAACATGCATAATCACCTTCAGCGTTCTTTTAAAAAATTCCTACTACCTTTTGTCTCTTAAGGAACACAATTTGTCTTCTAGCCAAATCGGTGTCTCCTGAAGTGCAATTCCTAAGACCCCAATAAACACATTGTCTTACTGCTTTGTAGTCTGGTCTTTTGCCTCTTCTTGATTGACATCAAGATCCTCAGGCCAGGTGCAGTGGTTCATGCCTGTAATTCCAGCACTTTGGGAAGCCAAGGGAGAACTGCTTGAGCCCAGGAGTTAAAACCAGCCTGGGTAACATAGCAAGATCTCATCTCTCCAAAAAATTTTAAAAAGAGGCATGGTAGCACATGCCTATAATCCCAGTTACTCAAAAGGCTAAGGAAGCAGAAGGATCATCTGAGTGCAGGAATTTGAGGCTGTGGTGAGCTATGATTGTGTCACTGCACTCCAGCCTGAGCGACAGAGTAAGACTCTGACTCACAAAAAAAAAAAAAAAAATCCTCAATTTACAGTCTGTGATTAAAGAAGACAAGATTTGCAATTATTTTTCTTATTTCAGTTTCCTGCTATATCGTATGTATAAATACTTTCTCTATAACTACATTCTACAAGAATTATTGCTTCATTTTAATTAAAAAACCATTTTATATCTTATATATCCTGGCATCTTTTACAGTTCCTAAAAAATATCTCTTCTCACCTCATGTATATAACTAATAATAAGTCAAAGTGTTTTAACTGTAACATACCATATTTTTCCATATGTTCTTTTCCAGCATACCCAAACATCTGAGGAGCAACTGGGTGGGCAGAAAATCCATACTTATTGATCAGGACATCAAGATGTTTATCAATTGGATGGGTCCTCTCTGAAAACTAAGAATGGGGGAAGCAAAATTTCATAAGCAACTGGCATAAGTACCTCTTTCACTACTATAGTGTTATTAAGACATTTGTTTATTCTAGGAACACAGTAAACCCAAAATGGTCAATAAGGATACTACCAATTAGGAAATGCTCTGCAGGGGAACATGGAAAAAAAAAAAGAACAACCAAGTGATCAAAGAGGTATTAATTCTTTCAAGAAATATTTACTGGGTATCCACTATGTGCCAGTAACTAGTCAATGTATGGGAGATAAAAGACTGACAAATTTGATAAAGACTGCTCATTTGGCATTTACATTTGGGGGAGAAAGAGACAGAAGGTTAAAGGGACAAGCATGAATAAAAATGCAAATAATAGTGCTATAAAAGAAGAATAAACCTGAGTAATAGGATAAAGACTGAAGGTGAAAAGTGCTATTTTGTAGACAATAGTCAGGAGGTCACAAAGATAAGGTGATATTTAAGCCGGAATAAAAAGGAGTGGGGAATAAGTCAGCTGGACCACCTTAGGAAAGAAACAGTTTAAACAGATGAAATAGCAAGAACAAAAACATTAAGGCAGGAGCATAAACGGAGGTTTGAGAAAATGCGCTATCAGAATAAGTATAAAGTGGTGCTCGGAGAGTGCAGCCCTGTTTCCTTAGTTCTAGAATAGAAGATTACAGTTCCACTGCAAATAGCCCAGAAAGAAAAAGCTGTTTCTTGTCAGTTTACCTATTGGATCAGATCAGTAGTCCCCAACTTTACAGCATCAGGGACCAGTTTCATGGAAAACAATTTTTCCACGGACAGGGGGCAGGGTACGGATCGTCAGGCATTAGAATCTCATACGGAACACACGACCTAGATCCTTAGCATGTGCATTTCACAATAGGATTCTCACTCCTATGAAAATCTAATGCCTCTGCTCACAGCCTCTCACTTCCTGCTGTGCAGCCCAGTTCCTGACAACCAGTGGGAGAATCCCTGTATTAGATTATAAGCTGCCTGAGGGCTGGATCTCTTTTTCATACACCTTAGTACATATACCCAATGCTAGCATAAATTGTGAAGAATAAATTAAGATATTTTTAGTCCATAGAGAGGTTCTAAAGGGAATACTGCTCATTCTCCTTGATTGAGAAATAGACTTAAAGAAGAAAATAAATAGTTTTAGTTACATATGACTAACAACCTGACAATTTAAAAAGTAAAGATAACTCAGTTGATAAATGAGTCTTGTGGAATCTCTGAACACATATATCTGTAAAACAGGTATCTATAATTATATGCTTGAAGCCGGGTGTGTAGTGGCTCATACCTGTAAACCCAGCACTTGGAAAGGTAGAGGTGAGAGGATTACCTGAGTCCAGGGGTTTGAGACCAGCCTGGGTAACATGTTGAAAACTCATCTCTACAATAAATCAAAAATTAGCTGAGTGTGGTGGCACACACCTGTAGTTCACACACCTAAAGGCTGAGGTGGAAGGATTGCCTGAGCCCAGCAGGTAGAGGATGCAATGGCAGTGAGTAGTGTGCCACTGCACTCCAGCCTAGGTGACAGAGTAAGACTCCAACTCAAAAAAATAATAATTATTATTATATGTCTGGATGGCTATCAGGAGAATTTTTTTATCTTGTCACAAGAAAAAAATTAAATTTGTGACTATACAATAAACATTCATTTGTAAAGGTATTTCCTTCTCTGTACCAGGAAAAGAAGGATGACTAAATTACTAGAGGATCTTAATGGATAAAGTAGGCATTGACTTCAATCTGCAAAGCAAAAGTTCACCCTTGTTTAAGGTGCTTTTCCTAACCCTCTTGTCTTAACGGGGGCCCTTCCTCACACACTCATTTTTCTTTGTTTGAAAACAATAGTATTTAAACTGGAAGTTTAAAGTTTTTTCTTTGATATTTTCTCTGGAGATTTACTTGTTTCCCTGGGTTCTCACCCATTTATACTATGGGATTATACATGAATATAAATGTTAATGAACTTTTAAAGTTTTTCTCTTGTTAATGTCTTTTGTAATAGCTCTAGTTAAGAACTATAAAGGGTACAGAAAAAAATAATTTTCCTCTCTAAATTAGTTTAAAATATGTCAACATGGCTCTATTAATTGTGATACATATACCATACTAACATAAGATGTTAATAGGGAAATATGGTTACGGGTACAAGTTGAGGCAGGATAGCCAGCACAGGTGGGACATAGATAAATTTCCCATAGGTAGGTTTTAGGAAGAATTCAGAGATTTTTAAAATTACATTTTACTGCAGGCCAAACTGCTGCCTACCCCACCCCCCCTTGGCAAGTCAAAAGAAAATCCCATTAGAAATAAGAATAGGATGGCCCAAACTTTCAGCTCATAATCACTAAAAATCCTTCAGGTTCCCTGTTGAAGGTAAAAAGCTCAACCCCACCCTCTTCCCAGCTTGTTTTGTAAACAGGTTAACCTAATCAGCCCTTTGTAACCTTCACGACACAGACTGCATCACCATGGCAGTCACCACCCGTCTGCCTGCCATTGATCACGTGTTGTCAGTACCTACACTCGTTTGCTGCTTGGTGATGACATGGAACCGACCACCACCCAATCACCAAAGGGAAGGTTTAGAAGGCATTCGACTTCAAACAGAAGCCACCACTGCTTTGTTAAACTCTGGTATCTCCAAGTGGTTCTTTGAGCTAAGACTGCCATGTCTCCTTAGCTTTGGCCCTCTCTTCTATCTTAGGGAGGTGACTCAATCGCTCTCTCTCTGTAATTTACTTTCTAAATAAACTTTTATTGAAAACAACAACAAAAAAATTTTAGCCTGTCATACAGAAAAAAAGAGATATATATTACATTATATATTAAAAATACATAAAATGTTTACATCTAAGTAAAAAAGGAATGTTAATTAAAACAATTAGATACAATTTCTTCTAGCTGTATAGACTAACAGAAACAAGATTTACCCTTCTATCTTAAACAATTAAAAACCATGACAAAATATACAAAACTGTTTCAGACTATGAACAACATAAAGTGCAAGACAGCTCTGAGAGAAAGAAATTTCATCAGGTGAATATTATGACTTTCCATAGATTACTACTCAGGAAGAGTAAGGAAGAATACCATAGAGTTCAGCAGTTTCACTGAGTTAAAGAAACCAAGTTCAGAGACCAAGGCATCTACATTTCACAGAGAAGAGCACTGGAGAGAAGAAAGGTACACAAAGAGAGTGACAGAGAAAGAGAGAAAGCACTAAAGGTCTGCAGAGGGTTCCCCTTGAGTCTTCAGTGAGTCTGATGAACAAATGAATATGAATTAACTACAAAGATAAGGAAAATAATCACTGGAAAGGAGTAGGCAGGACAATCCTCAAAGCTCACACAGGGCCAGGAACAGCTCTTACTCCCTCTAATCATAGTGAAAAGTTCTCCTAATGGGACACTTAAAAATTCCTAAAGTTACTGCTTGAGTATCAGAACCAGTTTAACCTTAGAATAAAGGCTGTCTGATTCTACCTAACAGAGCTTAAAAGCAAATCTCAAAAGGATCATTTCTAAACAAAACTTCCCTAGAACAAATCCCTAAATTTATTTATTTATTTTTTTTTGAGTTGGAGTCTCACTCCATCGCCCAGACTGGAGTGCAGTGGCCGCTCCCAGCCAACACAGCCTCAACCTGCTGGGCTCCGACGATCCTTCCACTTCAGCCTTCCAAGTAGCTGGAACTACACGCGTGTGCTACCACGCCCGGCTAATTTTTTTTTTGACTTATTGTAGAGATGAGGCCTCACCAAGTTGCCTGGGTGGGTCTTGAACCCGCAGGATCAAGCAATCCACTCACTTCAGCCTACCAAAGCGTGGGATTACAGGCTGAGCCACCGAGCCCGACAATATTTAAAGGAATATAAAAAAATCTAACTGCCAACAATGTCTAATATACAGTCAAAAATGTCAAGGCATAGGCTGGGTGCAGTGGCTCACATCTGTAATAGCAGGGAGGATTGCCTGAGGCCAGGAGTTAGAGAAGAGCCTGGGAAACACAGCAAGATCCGATCTCTACAAAAAAAATTTAAAAATTAGCTGGGAATGATGGCACATGCCATAGTTCCACCTACTTGGGAGGCTGAGATGAAAGGATCTCCCGAACCCAGGAGTTCGAGGCTGCAGTGAGCTGTGATCACACCACTGTACTCCAGCCTGGGTAACAGAGTGAGACTCAGACTAAAAAAAAAAAATTTACAAGGCATGCAATAAAACGGAAAAGTACAAACTGTAGTAAGTAAATCAATCAACAGAAATATACCTAGAAATGATACAGCTGATAGAATCAGTAAACAAAAAAAAATTTTTTTTTTTTTTTTGAGTTGGAGTCTCACTCTATCGCCCAGACTGGAGTGCAGTGACATGCTCCCAGCCACCACAGCCTTGACCCACTGGGCTCCAGCAACCCTTCCACCTCAGCCTTCCAAGTAGCCGGAATTATAGGCATGCGCTACCACACCCAGTTAGTTTTTTTGATTTATTGTAGAGATGAGGTCTCGCCAAGTTGCCTGGGCGGGTCTCGAACCCGCAGGCTAAGGCAATCCACTCAACTTGGCCTCCCAAAGCGCTGGGATTACAGGCTGAGCCACCAAGCTCAGCCAGTAAACAAAAAATTTAAGACAGTTATTATAATACTCTTCATTTGTTTAAGAAGTTATAAGAAAACATGACTGTGACAAAAAATATATAGATGATATTTTTAAAGACCCATTTGAAACTTTCAAAGATGAAAAATACGTCTGAAAAGTATACTGAGTGGAATTAACAAAAATTAAGGCACTTTAGCACAAATTAGTAACTTGGAGTCATGACAATCTATACTCAAAATGAAATATACAGAGAATGAAAAAAACTGGAAACAAAATATCAGTGAACTGTGAAAAATTCAAAAAGTTTAGAAAATGCATTATTGGAGTCCCATTTTTAAAAAAATGAAGGGAGAGAGAAGGCAGGAAAAATATTTTAA